ATTCCTGCTTGTGCCCCTCATCCAGGTGTAGAGCCTGCTTTTACTATCGGTAAGTCCTGCAATGTTTCACAATCGTACCACGAGGCTTTTGAAGGTGGCGGTGATCACACTTTTATTAAAAAACTTGGAAAAAATGAGAAGCCTGCACTTATTCTCACTAAGGGTGAAACTGGTGCTCTAGCGTCCTCTTGTCGTTTTGCTCTAGTGGGGAAATTCCTTTATGGTCACCCAAAATCAGATATCATTAGGAAAGAATTTGGTGCTATGAAACTATTAGGCAGTTGGAATATTGGTCTACTAGATGATCGATATATACTTATTCAGCTATCTCACGATGTCGATTACACTCACATTTTATCTAGAAAGTTATCAAGATCGACAATCATTTTATTGAGGTTCGACAATCTTTTTACGAAAATTCTGAAGTGGGCTGTCGGTTTTGATCCAAAAGCGGAGTCCACTATCATTCTAGTTTGGATAAAGTTTCTGGGGTTAAAATTACATCTGTTCAACATGAAAATCCTTTACTCTTTAGCAACTGCTTACGGTAAGCCTCTTAAGGTGGATACTCCTACGCTTGCTCTCACCAGACCATCTGTGGCTTGTGTTTTATGAGATATCACTCAACCAGCTCCGGATGAGATATGAATTGACAATATTCACAATGGGTATTGGCAAAAGGTTGAAATAGAACCACGTCCTCCTTATTGCTCTCATTGTAGTGTGTTTGACCATAGTTCTACTATTTGCTATTGTTTGCTTCCTCATCTAAAGTTGAATATCACTAAAAATCAGCTACCTATCATTCTTATTGAAAAAGGTCCAATCCGATCCTCTTTCCAACATCAAAGATCCACATGAAGAACACCTTACTACAAGTACAGATCGAAATGTGTTGATACCACTTACTGTTATTGAAGAAGACCCACTTACATGCCAAGACACATAAGAATGCTCCTTTGACCCGATAGAAGATCATCTATTACAACAAGTAGTTGTTTTTAATGTTCAACAACCTTCACATATCATGCACACTTCAGACCATTATGCTGATTAGGTCAGCCAATCTTCGGATGAGGAATGACAGGTCTATACAAGGAGGAACAAAAAGAACAGAGGACGAATCGAGCTAGGGATTATATTAGATGATATATTGGTTACTACTGGCAATGACACTCATCTGACCAATTTATTAGCTGACTATTATGACACTCATCTGACCAATTTATTAGCTGACTCCTTCCCTAGAACTAGAGGCAGAGACAAGGCAAAATCGGGTCGCTTTCTACTCTCAAGCTACCTGATACTCTTATTTTGATACCTTACTCTTATTTTGCTCCCTTTTGGTTTTTTATTTAGATATCTTATGTTTTTTTTGTTGTATTTTCTCCTTTTTGGAACCATTTGATTTGGTGATTTTTGTGGGTTGAGTGTCGTATTTGGACGACCTTCCATAAAATCTTATAATAGTCACCACAATTTTTTAAATAAACTTCTTGCCCCCCAAACAGACCTTTATATATCTTATATATAACATTGAAGGATAGATGATAGACATGTAATTACATAAGAATTTTGTGGAGTGGATGTAAATCTTCCCCTATTTAATCTTCAATGTACTTGTCCACGTGCAATTAAGAGCACATTCATTTCTCACCGCCAACAAAACAAAACTCCCAAAGGGATAAAAGTCCAGGCATTGACCGACTGAGCGGCCGATCTTTCGCTTCCCACTTCTTCCCTAATCGCACGACTATCGGTTCTCCCTTCACCTTCACGAATTTTGCCGTTTGCAATTGATATTTTATCAAATTATCTCTTACTTCGGTGCTCGCTTGGTGTGATCCGAGGTCCGGGTTGGAGAACGAGAGCGTGCTCGCTTGGTGTGATCCGAGGTCCGGGTTGGAGAACGAGAGCGCAATAGATGGCGAAGCTGTACGTGGAGACGACGCCACCACCGGATCTGAACAAGAACACCGAGTGGTTCATGTACCCTGGAGTGTGGACGACCTACATCCTCATCCTATTCTTCTCCTGGCTTCTCGTCCTTTCGGTCTTCGGATGCACCCCTGGTACAGCGTGGACCATCGTTAATCTCTTCCATTTTGCGGTATGTTTCGATTGATATCTGCTGTTTTATTTTTGCGTTTAGGGGTTTTTGGCTTTTTCTTGTGATGGTATTTATTGGAGACGCCTGCACGCAATATTTGATTCTGTGCCTTGGTCAATTGTATTTGATTTGCGGCGTTTCTTTGTTTCTTCTTTTCGTGTGAATAAAATTTAAGGTACACAATTTTACTTATGGATGGTCACTTGAAATGCTTGCTTTGCTGTTCCGGCTAAGACAAGTAATATATGTATTCATGCTGATGATTGAATTTAGGCATTTGCTTTCTGAATTGTAAAGTGTTCTTTATTTAAGTCCTTCAGGGATTTTATTTTGTTTTTTTTTCCAATTTTATGAGATTATTCAACTAATTTCATCTCGATTTCCTCCATATATTTGCTAAGCGCTCAGTTTGGCCATAATTTGCTCATATTTTCCTTTTGTTTATATTTATTTTCTCGGTGATATCTTTTGTCTGTAAAAATTTCCTTAGTTTAAAAAATTCTTATTGGTAGTTGAGTTGCATGGTGAATTCCAAAAATCGATATTTTATGGGTCTAGAAACTGTTTAGATGAAGTGCAATTAAAACTAAACTAGTGCATTATCCGATTTTATTTTTTCGTGTTTGTGCTGTATGTTATGGGTCTTGGATATGGTGTGGGCAAGGAATATCATTGTTGCAAATCTGCATTTAGGCTGACAAGGAGTCACTAACTTCGTATGGACCTGACAAAATTAAATTTTTGCTTTGATCTTTTTAATTTATTAACGGAAGTTAGGCGAATTAAAATAGAAGTAAAATGGCTCTTGCCTATTTTACTCTGAATACTTATGATGTATATTTTTGTTTCTTTTTAACTTCAAGCGAACAACTTGGGGCGATCTATTATGGAATGATAAGCAACACATTAAATCTGTGTTGGGCCATACTTAATTTTCTCTCTTGTTATGTATCTGATGAAGTCGAACTGTTATTGGAATTGGTTAGCTGTTGTTTGGGGTTTCTAAAAGGGAAGTGCATGTGGTTTTGATTGTATTTAAATCTCACCTGTTTCCTTGTATAATTAGAGTGGTCCATCTTGCGCTTCAACAAAGATTTTAAATGTGAAATTTAAATATTGGCCTTTAACATTTTTTCAAGGAAATAGAAAATTTAATTAAGGGTAAGACATTATATGCAAAAGGTTGTACTTGTGAAGCTCGAAATGATTATTTGTCTATGTAACTTCAATTCAAAAGTTAATTGAAAGATCAGACCACATAGTTTAAGGAAACAAAAATAGAATAATACATGAGAAAACTAAAATCCTCAAATTACATTAACTAAAGTAAGAGAAAATCTTGAAATCAAACTAAAGTTGTTAAGTGCTACAAAAGAGCCTATAAAACCTTTTGCATGATGTAATCCACGTAAGCTATAACAAAGATAAGCTGAATGTCCTACTTATTTATTCTAAGGGCCTAATGACCATTTGCTAGCCAAGAGCTGAATAACCTACAAAACAATCATGAAGAAATTACTGAATAACAAATAAACAAATAAGAAATAATCATCTTAAACTATAGATAAGCCACAAATATCCATTATTAAAAAACTACCCAACATTAAGTGTGACAAAAAGAAATACGAAATCATAGTTTCTATGTTGAGTGCAATAGTTATCAATAAAAACTGATAGGTTATGACCGACTTCTAATGTGAAATAGTACATGAAACAACTTAAGTTCAAGCTCAGAAGAAGGTTTTGTGACATGATTTTAGAGAGGTAGCTAAGCCAATAGTTTAGTTACATCTAACTATGATGGAAATAAATCCAATGATGCTAATCAGGACCTAGTCAGATTCGTTGCAAAACATATAGAATTCAAAAAATATAACTCTTACCATAATCAAGAACATCGATAATTCTACAACTTGATGGATGTAAAACCAATGATACAAATAAATCTAGGCAAGAGAGCTATAATCCAATGGCATAGACTATTAGGCCAATCATCATTACTATTATTGCTCGATAAATTATTCTCAACATAATAAAATTTAACTAAACAACTAGAGAATAATAATTTTTTCTCTACTAATTCTTAAACAGAGCTATCAGAGAGTAATAAACTTACTAAAAGATGAAATTCATTGAACTATCAACCTGTAATGTTGCAAGCCAAAGTTATATATTGTTGAAATTCCTCTGCTGGAATCATTGTAAAGAATTTATGGCACATGAATTAAGGTTTTGTACAATTGGATATATTTTGATCCTCAAAACTTAAGGTTTTTCTGAATGATTTGTTGGATCTATTTCTCTATGACCCTCAGATTGTACTCTGTGTAGTTTTCTATAGGATCTTCAATCACTAATTATTTTCTCTTTTTTTTTATTTATTTCTTATTTGTAATGCCTCTTGGAGGTGTATATATTACCTCATCTCTTGTATAGAAATCCTCGGCCAAATCCTCCACTGTCAAAGGTCTTACTACAACATCAGTCTACCACGGTTCACGGCTCCTACCCAGAACATTCCAGGATCATCCGAATCTTTGAAAACTCATATGGAGCACTTAATCAAGCTACTTGGATCCAATCGGTTCTTTGCTAGCCTTTCAACCTCACACGTCTGTCAATGTACTGTCCCTATGTTCAGGTGCCACAAACCATATGATTGGATGCTTGCAAGCTTTCTCGACATACTATCCATGTTCTGGAAAAGATACGGTAAAAATTAAGCTGATAAATGGTTTGTTGTTCTGACGACCGGTCTAACTTTGGAATCTGTTACTCATACCATTTTTGAAGTGTAACATTTTATCTTTCAGTAAATTGACACATGACATTTATGGCGTTGATCATGTCTCTTATGATGTTTATGCCTTTTAGGATAGTCGTTCGGGGAGGATGATTAGAACTGCTAAGCGGGTAGCTGGATTCTACTTCTTCCGAGAGAAAAGTATGGAGAACGAGGACATACCACTTAGTAGTTGTAGCTTATCTTGAGCCACTAAATGTCTTATAATGTTGTTGTATTGTCGTTTGGGTCATCCTAGTTTTCAATATTGAGAACATTCGTATCCATTGATGTTTTCAAATTAAATTCTTTCTTGTTTCAAGTGTGAGAACTGTCAGCTAGTTAAACATCATTATATTCAATATGCACCCCACACGTATACACCTCCCGCTTTTTCGTTCATTCAACATGACGTATGGGAACCCTCTCGCACTGCCAGCTACACCAGTAAACGGTGGTTTTTTTACTTTAATTGATGACTACACATGGGTGATTGTGGGTCTATATTTTAAAATACAAATCAGAAATTTCGGTCACTTTCCAACACTTGTACACCTTCATTTTGACCCAATTCAAAAGTCAATTCAGGTCTTTCGGACCGATAATGGTCTTGGGTTTTTTAACTTTATTTTAGGTGAATTATTGGTAAGGGCATCCTCCACCATTGCTAGTTTATGGACAATCCTCAACAAATTGGGGTAGCAGAGAGAAAAACCGACATTTCCTCGATGTTGCTCGCTACATCATGTTTCAATCTAATTTCCTGAAACGTTTTTAGAGTGATGTCATGCTGACTACCATCTATCTCTTAAATAGAGTCAATTATAAAATTCACAACTTTCGAACCCTCTAAATCATATTGATGTCATGCTTTCCTACCAATCAGGTTTTCTCCACTTTAGATCTCAAAATATTTGGGTGTACAACCTTTGTTCGGAATACTGGCCCCACTCGGAGTAAACTTAATCTCAGATCCATAAAATGTATCTTCCTAGAGTACTCCGCTACTCAAAAAGGGTATCCGTGTCTTGATCCTATCACAAACATAATCTATGTGAGTGTTGATGTCTTCTTTTTTGAAATTATTCTCTATTTTTTCAATTTGAGCTTAAGTGAGGGGAAGCTAGAGTTCTTAGACACTATTCATTATCCTATTCCTATGAATGTTCACCCCGTTGTTCCTGCCACTGAGGAATCTTTGATTTTTGTTGTTCCAATATTGAAAATATTCGTATCCATTATTGAAAACATTCGTATCCATTGATGTTTTCAAGTTAAATTCTTTCTTGTTTCAAGTATGAGACATGTCAGCTAGCCAAACATCATTAGATTCAATACACACCCCACACGTATACACCTCCCGCTTCTTTTTCGCTTTTTCGTTCATTCAACATGACGTATGGGGACCCTCTCGCACTGCCAGCTACACCAGTAAACGGTGGTTTTTTTACTTTAATTGATGACCACACTTGGGTGATGTGGGTCTATATTTTAAAATACAAATCAGAAATTTCGGTCACTTTCCAACACTTGTACACCTTCATTTTGACCCAATTCAAAAGTCAATTCAGGTCTTTCGGACCGATAATGGTCTTGGGTTTTTTAACTTTATTTTAGGTGAATTATTGGTAAGGGCATCCTCCACCATTGCTAGTTTATGGACAATCCTCAACAAATTTGGGTAGCCGAGAGAAAAACCGACATTTCCTCGACGTTGCTCGCTACATCATGTTTCAATCTAATGTCCTGAAACGTTTTTGGAGTGATGTCATGTTGACTACCATCTATCTCTTAAATAGAGTCAATTATAAAATTCACAACTTTCGACCCTCTAAATCATATTGATGTCATGCTTTCCTACCAATCAGGTTTTCTCCACTTTAGATCTCAAAATATTTGGGTGTACAACCTTTGTTCGGAATACTGGCCCCACTCGGAGTAAACTTAATCTCAGATCCATAAAATGTATCTTCCTAGAGTACTCCGCTACTCAAAAAGGGTATTCGTGCATTGATCCTATCACAAACATAATCTATGTGAGCGTTGATGTCTTCTTTTTCAAAATTATTCTCTATTTTTTCAATTTGAGCTTAAGTGAGGGGAAGCTAGAGTTCTTAGACACTATTCACTATCCTACTCCTATGAATGTTCCCCCCGTTGTTTTTACCACTGAGGAATCTTTGATTTTTGTTGTTCCACCGTCTCCTCACACTTTCCG